AAATATATTTTTAAAGACATGCAATGTGATTGTAGTATATATAAAATGATGCCACGCATCTGTCTTTGATGTCTGTGTGCCATATATAGTGCTCAGATGTGATTTTTGTCATCTGTCCTAATTCACAACCAATAAACATGAGTACTCATGGTACTTGTCAGTATCTGAGTAAAAGAATGGACAGCAAAAGGGTATCTAATTTGAGAAAAATCCCACAAGTGCTCCACCAATATTGTCAATCATGCTGTTAACTTTTTCTTGCTAAAAAATGCCAACAATTTGCAATATTAAAATGCTAAATCAACATTAGCAGGATGAATCGATGCCTTTATTAAGATAGATGGAAGGGAAAGTTACACGTAATAAAAAGGTGAACTTTTTGCTTAAAGTTGTAATACATTACAAGAATTTAAATTCCATTTTTACGAACCTTTGTAATTTCCCTCTCTATATAAGTCCCATGGACACACTCAGCTGAAGGAGTGTGCAGCAGTTGCTTTCTCATCCCATTTCATAGAGTACCAAAGTATAATTTCCCCTGTTTAAGGGCTGCTACAATAATAATCAAGGTAAAAATGTCATTCAGAACAAACTTGTGTTTGTTTTAACATGTTAAGATCAGTAATAATTTTGCACATTCAGTCATTTTCTTTGTGCATGTTCAACCGTTGACATAAAGAATATATTTTCTTGACAATCTTGATTGGATTGTTGAAACTAAAGAATGGAAAAATCGAGACCTTTCTTCTCTTGCAGGAACTTAACTTCCACACGACATTCCAATTATAGATATTGCAAACTGTCTATAAATTCGTTCCTCACTTCGTTATTAACTTATATCATACAGTGCTTGTAGCTACTCTTCTTCATTCTCTTGTAATCACAATTTGGTTCTTTTCTTTATGTGCATTAGCTGTTCTTGATAAAACATATAGTGACGATATTTGTTCCTTGTAGTGTGTTAAGAGCTTGTGTTTTTTAGGATGGGTGAGAGCACTGGCACCAACAATAACCACCACAATGGCCAAGTTTTCAACGTCTCTCTCAATATGCCGACCGACTTCTGCTCCAAAGCTGTCGATGATGATGGCCGACCCCAAAGAACTGGTAATTCCTGAATTAATTTTTAAAAGCGAACGATTTTTGTAATCCATGGTAAGATATTCATTGATTTTGGCACAATCCCAATATATATATGTTATTTATGTGTGTTTTTAGGTAGTGTATGGACTGCAAGTGCACACATAATAACTGCAGTGATTGGCTCGGGAGTTCTTTCCTTAGCATGGGCTATAGGCCAGCTGGGATGGATTGCAGGCCCAACTGTCATGTTCATGTTCTCTATCGTCATATATTACACTTCAACCCTCTTAGCCGATTGTTACCGTTCGGGAGACCCATTGTTCGGCAAGAGAAACTATACGTACATGGATGCCGTCCGCTCCAATCTCGGTATAATCAGTAGATTTTTTCAGTACAAGAATTAGAGCCACTTGATTGACTAATACTGAATAAATTACAATTTTCGTCCTGTATGTTCACTACTTCAACTTTTTCGTTTTTGATTTTCGTTTGAAAAAAGGTTACAAAAAAGTCATTTTTGTATGTAAAGGACGAAATTGGAACACTTTTTTGCGAAACATAGAGGACTTTTTTGTAACCTTTCTTCAAACATACGGGACAAAAATTCAAAAACGCAATTCGAAGAGGACGAAATAGTTAAAGCAGTGACACATACAGGACGAAAATTGTAATTTACTCTTTCTTTTTTTCTTGTGCTCACATGTTCTGATTTCGTAACAGGCGGATTTAAAGTGAAGCTATGCGGTCTTGTTCAGTACATGAACATATTCGGAGTGGCCATCGGGTACACAATTGCAGCATCTATAAGCATGATGTGAGTGCATAGCACATTACACACAGACACAATCCTACTATATACATATATACATTCCTTTTTCTTGTTTATTATAACTTGACTCAAATCTTTTTGGAATTTCAACTTCAATATCTCGAACAGGGCCATCAAAAGATCGAATTGTTTCCACAAGAGCGACGGCAAGGATCCGTGCCACATGTCGAGCAACCCTTACATGATCGCTTTCGGCATCACTCAAATCATATTCTCCCAAATTCCCAACTTTGACCAGATATGGTGGCTTTCAATTGTTGCTGCCATCATGTCGTTCACTTATTCCTCCATTGGCTTAGGCCTCGGCATAGCCAAAGTAGCAGGTTCACATATTCCCTCCTTTTTTCGATATTCCGGTAGGAAAACAACTACAATTAACATGCTCGTATTTTTCATTATTGAACAGCTACTGGAACCATCAAGGGTAGCCTCACTGGTATAAGCATTGGGACAGTAACTCAAACACAAAAAATCTGGAGAAGCTTCCAAGCTTTAGGCGATATAGCTTTCGCGTACTCATTTTCGATCATCCTCATCGAGATTCAGGTTCATACAATATGGATGTTAAATCGAAGCTCATCAAGAGATGATTAATTGATATATTATATATGTAAAACTGATAAAAAATATAAAAGTTATTAACTTTTAAAATATATTTACAATTAAACGGTTATAATAAGAAATGATATTAAAATGCAATAACATGACCATAAATAATCAACATATTATGGATAATCCGAACTTAAATATTTTTGGATTGGACGTAAATTAAAACCTACCCAAGCCTAATAACGAAGCATGTAATTTTGCTACATAGGATCCCGAAGCATGCGAGTCTGCCACTTAGGTTCAACACGTTCTGAATTAATATATAAGAGGATGTTCTGTTATAAAAGGAACAGTAGTTTTGTATAAATATGTACTGTCTAAAACACATTTACTTTGACAAATTTTTAATGACAAATTAATAAAACAGTAATACCCATTTTATCTTATATTTTTAATGAAAAAATGGACTACCCAAAGAAAGATTACTTTTGACATATTTTAATGACAAATTAGTAATACAAATAATACTCATCATATTTTATATTTGTAATCAATAACTAATATTTAATTAATTAAATATAAATACACGAACAAAATATTCCGCATCTCCTAAAAATCAACCTCAATATTCTTGTATATATAAGTATGCATCTTTTCGAGTAAATTGCAATTTTAGTCTTGCATGTTTCACTGCTCTAACTTTTTCGTCATTTTCAAATTGCATTTTTTATTTTCGTCCCGTATGTCTGCAAAAAGGTTACAGAAAATGTCATTTCCATACATAATGGATGAAATTAGAAACTTTTTTTGCAAAACATAAAGCACATTTTTGCTGCGAAAAAGACCTTTTTTTAACCTTTTTGAAAACACACGAGATGAAAAAATTTGAAGAGGACGAAAAAAATTAAGATAGTGAAACATACAGGACTAAAATTACAATTCACTCCATCTTTTCTACATATATAACTAAGATGTTGAATGAACTCAGGAATTAAGCTAATTTGTTATGAACAGGACACGATAAAATCCCCACCGGCAGAAGCCAAGACAATGAAAAAAGCAACACTTTTGAGCACAATTATAACCACGAGCTTCTATATGCTGTGTGGGTGCATGGGGTACGCCTCATTCGGAGACCTTGCCCCGGGAAATCTCCTAACCGGGTTCGGTTTTTACAATCCATTCTGGCTTTTAGACATCGCAAATGCCGCAATTGTGATCCACCTAATCGGGGCCTACCAAGTCTACTGCCAGCCACTATTTGCCTTTGTAGAGAAATGGGCCTCGTCCACTTGGCCCAATAACTGCCACTTCATCTCCCGGGAGATCTCCTTCGCGGGCCGGGCTTACAAATTCAATATTTTCCGGTGCGCGTTTGTTGTGTTGACGACGGTGATATCGATGTTGCTCCCATTTTTTAACGATGTTGTTGGGATTTTGGGGGCGTTTGGTTTTTGGCCTTTGACGGTTTATTTTCCGGTTGAGATGTACATTGCGCAGAAGAAGATAGAGAAGTGGAGCAAAAGGTGGATTTGTTTGCAGATGCTGAGTTTTGCGTGTCTTGTTATATCGGTGGCAGCGGCAGCAGGGTCGGTGGCTGGGGTTGTGCTGGACCTCAAGGTATATAGGCCGTTCAGGACTACCTACTGATAGTTTTTATTTGTGGCACAAGATTAGTTTAAGTGTATGTATGTATGTATGTACATCAGATTATTGGTGGTGGTTTTCNAAAATAGTGAAGTAATTATTAAGGAAGGAAAAGTTCAAGACCGGCCAGCATATCTATGAACTTTTGAGGTGTTTCCCCAACTATGAATTCTCATTGTTTAAATTAAAAAAGGAAAAAGAAAAAAATATAAAATTAATATTTAGGGGTAAATTAGACAAAACTCTATTATTAGTGTTTTTATTAGTGTATGTCGTGTCGTGAGTCTTGTTTTTGGTTTCTAGCGTTGTTAGTGTTGGTTCTAGGCGGTCTTCTGACATGTTGTTCCAATTTATTCAGCTTTTGGTTGTATTATTCAGTTATAGGTTGTACTTTTACACATTTGTGCTTTTTGATATATATAATTCTCTATCGTTCCGAAAAAAATAAATTAAAAAAAAATTAGACTAAACTCCAAGAGTGTTTGTCAAATTTATCAACACCTTTGAATGGAAGTATAAACAAATGAGGTATGTACGTAGACTCATTGTTTGTTGTTAGTCCATCTATTGCCCTTTACTCTACTTTAGTGCACCCACAATGCTTTGGGTCTCTTTTTATATATGTGGCAAATAAATAGACTTAAGTCTATAATGACATGTACAAACCTAAGTTAAAAAATCCAAAATCTATCCAATGAAAAAAAAAGAATACTAGGTCTAGAATAACTAACAAGCAATAAAAATATAATAATAGTAAATGATTATTATTGTAAGATTCACACTTGGGTCCAAAATAGACCCAAGAGTGGACTGAGTCTCTTTTTTTCATTGTCACATAAGTTAGATTAGGTCCACTTTTAATTGCATTGTGAAACACTTTTTTAAACTAAGTGTATTTCTTACATGGTATTTGATTTTTTGTTAAAAGACTCAAAGCATTATGAGTGCTCTTAGGTAGAGTTTATGCTACTCTCTAAATTAAATAGAGGGTAAATAGCGATTTTCATATACCAAAAATAAGGCATATTTTCAAATTATTACCCCACATTCACAGTAGGTCACTTAAGTACCTATAGGGCTCGTTTACTTTGAGGGATTAGATTGATAAGATGAATTGTCCCTCGATATCCCTTGTTTACATTAATTGATTGGGACAGGATTATATGAGTTGGAATCACATGTGGCGGCGGGGCCCACGTTGAAATAATGTGTTGGCAGATTATTTTCATCCCACCAAGAAGAGGTGATTAATTAATCATGCACTGTTCAAGACTTTTTTGTCCTCAAAACTGGATGCAAATAGACTATTGTACCCCTCAAGTTGATTTAATTACTAAACACACCATAGTCTTATCCCATCCCTCAAAGTAAACATGGGACTAAATGCTGACATGTAAAGGTAACCCGATTATTTAGTCTTATCCCATCCCTCAAAGTAAACGAGCCCATAGTATATAAAAATGTGCAATTTTGGTATTCCGACCGTTAATTAGGAGTCAAAACTAAAAGGCAAAAAAAAAAAAAAGTATTTTAATCAAATTATATTAACTATATATATATATAAAGAAAGTTGGGTCTAAGGGCCAACTTTGCACTTATGTTGAACTTGTGGCCCACGACCATGTTTGCTCGGGGTTCTGTCGCTCTTGCATTTTAACTATCGAGCTTATGAGCTCGACTTTCTCTTGTTATCATAGCATCATAATTACGTTTTGCCAAAGATATGCAAGCAATTGATACTTCTCCACAAAAAATAATTCCAAGAGACTTATCGTTAACAACTGAACTTGATCATTAGAGAGAGTAGGGATTAACTTATGTACCTGGAGTTAAACATATCACTGTCATCCTTTTACGCAAATCACTGGGGCTTGATGAACTCTTCGGGTCCTCCCATCCTCTTTATGAAAATAATTGCGAATGTCTCGTCGAGAGAACCTCTCTACATAGACAATCGGGGCAAAAAACTTCTCGTTAAGCCTTTCCGACCTCTGTACTTGACCGCGCGTCGCAACGTGACAAATTAAAATTTATATTAGTTTTTCTTGCCTAACATCCACTAACTAGTAGTAGCGGCAAGTAAGGGTCGATCCCACGAGAAATAGAAATTAAATTGTGACAATCTCATATTAATTGTACTAATCTACTAAAGCAGTAAAAAGGAGGGGGGGGGGTGATTTTTTGCAAAACTAAAAACAAAAATAACAAAGTAAAATAAAAATCAAATAAAATAAGAGAAATTCAGTTTTCGATTCAGTTATCACCCAATCTAAATCTACCGTTAATTAATTTCGACGTCTTCTTTAAATTGTTAATGAATTACCAAACCTCGCTAACCTGTTCACCCTAGAATAAGCTATTCGACTAAACCTAGCTAAACCTGTTAATGAAGTAACGACGTCAGCCCAGCAGAGCAGGGGCTCGTCGTCGGACTGGATGTGGACATCGGCCTCGTCGGAGCAAGGGTTCAACGGCAGGCGAAATAACGACGTCAACCCGGCAGAGCAGGGACTCGTCGCCGAACTGGATGGGGACATCGGCCTTGCCGGAGCAAGGGCTCAACGGCGGATGAAGTAACGCCATCAGCCTGGCAGAGCAGGGGCTCGTCGCCGGACTGGATGGGGACATCGGCCTCGCCGGAGCAAGGGCTCAACGGCGGGCGAAGTAACGCCGTCAACATGGCAGAGTAGGGGCTCGTCGCCGGACTGGATGGGGACAACGGCCTTGCCGGAGCAAGGGCTCAACGGCGGGCGAAATAACGACGTCAGTCCGGCAGAGCAGGGGCTCGTCACCGGACTGGATGG